ATTAAGCCTTAAACCAGCTCCATTAATCTATCACTATCAGCTGTGTTTGAAGACAACAAGAATAGCATTCAGTTAGTCTTTCCTACCTAAGTGAGTGATACCTATAGATAAGGAAACAAGGTTTTGTTTATTTAAGTTACTATAGAACATTTTGAGTCGCTCCAACCTCTATTAAGTACTGAATCAATGAAATTTGTAACCCTTGAACAAACATAGGCTCCTGATCCTCATCTTTTGTGATAGATAAGAAGGTTTCCACAGCAGACAATAATAAGGATTCTGATACAATCTCAATCATCATCTCCTGGAATTCTGTTGTAATCTCTCAAACTACCTTTTCAAATCTATACCTTATTCTAGCTAGAAAGCGAGTGTATTTGTCTTCTATGAACTGAATTATCGATACCATCAGAATAACAAATCGTTCCAGTCATTCCCCATCAATGAAACCAAGAATTGAAATGCTTAACAATCTATTAATTCTTGTAACAAGGTGATCATTAGACCAGTAGAGAAATCCTTAACCATTAAGCCCCCCTATTTGATTCGTGTAGAATGCATTAAGACAGAGATAAATGAAAATTCCTGACTAGTTAGTAGTTTATAATCAAACCATTAATTCAAGATTGCCAGGAATGCATCAATGTAACTTGAGAATAACAAACAACCTCCATTTAAGTATCTCTGACTGCACAAATGAGTTGATAAGTCCTTCCCTCAACAGATCAGACTTCTATTTTAATAGCCATGAAATAATATTTGATTGAGTGAAGCAAGCCTTAACAATACATAGAACTTATCAGAATGTGAATACAATGATAAAAAGATTATACATGAAGATGGACTTCACTAGTCATAACAAAGAACATGCTCCTGATGAGAATACAACGGCCGGTGATTTGCATCAAAGCAGTTCCTCTAGTTGAAAGACAACTGAAAGTACCACAATTCCTATATTGTTTGCAGCAAAATTTTTACTAAAAGCCTACCCAAAAAGAGACTAAGAGGAAACAATTTTAGACAAATAATTTGTGAAATTAAGACAAAAGACATTTTCAATCTGAGCCTCAATTAGCTGCAGAAATCTGAAAGAGTCAGAACTAGTACAGTCATGACCTGTTTTTATAACTTGAAAAATCATGCAATGGTAAAACTAGATGATCAGGTAGAGACCTACCTTGGATGGTGGCAGGTATTGATTGCATGTATCATCCACACAAATCAATTCAATTAAAAATCTAACTTTGCATTTTGATAAGATCCATATGATTCAATCATTAATTGACACCCAAAACAGAACAACAAGAATTTAATTATAAATTGATTCAGGATAGGAATACTGTACTTTATACTTGACATGAATTGTTGAAGAATCTTAATCATTTTATAAACTTGATGAGTATGAATCCCTTTAAAATTGACATTACTCAATAATTAAGGAGTATCCAAAGAATTTTCAAAGTGAACTTCAAAAAGGTAACAATTTGATGAAGATAAGGAAATAATGGTTACTCCAAATTATTGAGGGAACTTAGGTGTTACTGTTTACAATAAGCTATTAAACTTAAAGCGGATACACAACTTAACTTTCTTGAATCATTCAATTAAAACATACAATTTCATGAATTCATAACTATAGAACTAAATTAATTCTCCAGGAGAAATGGATCAAATTAATTTTATCATCATAGAAATTGCAGATAATGAATTGAAACATAATTGAGCTGAAGAAAGAAAAATGTAACCTGCCAGAAGACTTGAATCCTAATACCATAGAAACATTGATAAGATTAATATATTTCCCATAGAAAATCTAGAAGGTAAATTGAAACAAAAAAATTAACTTGTAAGAATTAGATTATGCTCACTTTCATTGTTGAACCTAACAAATTATAGATGTAATTAAGAAACAATATTCCATGATGAAAGTTTTCCCAAAGAGCCACCTTACTACACAGCCTTCAATCTCTAAAATAAAAGTGAAAGATTTTATGAGCAATGCGGTCAGAATTTGTGTGTTTGATATATGAGGGAACATAAAAGATTTATGTCATTATATCACTAATAATTGGAAAATTTAGTATCAATAAAATTGGATTGAAGAACTTGTAGAAGTTTTACTATATAGGATGGAAATTTCTTGATACGGTAGATTTAAATTCAGAAATACTTCTAATGAAACACCAAATGACAGAGAAATAGGTTAGACTCCTTGGTTTCCAAAATAAATCTTAATTTCTAAAGCAATACACATACACCACAGTGATTCTGATTTTAAATTTATGATTACCAAAACTGAAAAATATGCAACAGAATGTGTGAAATTAGCTGTAGATTACAACAAAACTAGATGGGATAAAAATCACAAAGCTCACCAGTTTAATATATCTACATTCAACTTTACTAAATCGGACTGGCCCTAAAAATTAAGAGATTCATCTGTAGGAACTTTTACCATTAAACAATTGCACAGTGCCAATGCTGTTGAATTTATACTCACTGGAGAATTAGAAAGAAAACATCTTACATTTCCAGTTAGTCTGATTAAACCATATAAAACTAGTGATAATGAAAAATTTCCTTTATGAAAAGATAACATCAGAGTTGTAATACCTACTTTAAAAGAAAAAAAGAAGAAGAAGAAATTAAAATTAAGAAAATATTACAACATAAAAAAAAAGAAATCAGAAAAATCAGAAAAAACAATGAGGACATTAAACAATATTTAGTAAGATACAGTGGTACCAAAGAAGATGAATGGCTTACAGTTGATAAAATACCTGATGCTGATAAAATTCTCAGACAATACAGAGCTGATAAAAGAAAATAACATTATTTATTTCTTGGATCAGCCTTTTTTAGAGGGAGGAAGTGTCAGCCACAGAGTACATGTCACAGTACCTTTCATGTACCAAGTAACTGCAACACCTGTACTTATGTACATAAGTACTTATCCATAATGTTGATTACCTTTACCTCTTGTTATCTTATCATTATCATTAACTTATATTATTTATCTTACATTTATCTTATCTGTTAATTACTTATCTATTAAATACATACCTGTGTTCTACATAAGTAATTATCACTTACCTTTCACTCCTTTGTCCGTGAAATACCTGTACCACAAGTTATCCCTCTGCTACAGTATTTTCACGGTCAAATATTATTACAAATAAATATGTACAGTGCCTAGACAGTGAAAAGTGGCTGCCTATTTTGGATTCCAGAGCTCCAGAGCACAAATTTGAAATCATGAGACTTGGTCAGGTGGTGCATAATAGGTCCCAAAAAATGAATATGAAATAATAAAATAAAAAAATAAAGTTTCAAAATTTGTGAAAAATAAAAAACAAAATGGATTTTTTTCAGAAGCTTTGATATTCATTTTGGGGCAGTGGGAGTGCTGAGAGAAAGAAAGATTGGGAACTGAGAAGAATGATTATGAATGAAAATTTTGGAAAAACTGGTTTTCAGATGGCTTCAAACAGCTGTTGAGTGGGGCATTCACCAGCCCACATTGCAGCAAAGCACCAGAATTTACTGTTTTGGCTGCAATCTGGACCACCAACCTGGCCAAACTTTTTTTGGTTCCAATTTTTTTCATTTATAATCATTCTTCCCACATTCCATTCTTTCTTTCTCTCAGCACTCCCACTCCCTCAAAATGAATATTAAAGCTTTTGAAAAAAATTGAGTTTATTTTTTATTTTTCACAAATTTTCAAACTTTATTTTTTGCTTTTATTATTTCATATTCATTTTTTGGGAGCTATTATGCACCAGCTGACCAAGTCTTATGACTTCAAGTTTGTGTTTCAGAGCTCTGGAATCCGAAATAAGCAGCCACTTTTCACTGTCTACCCACTGTACATGTATTAAATAGTAAGTATTAAGTGTCAATAGAATTAATACATTCAATACATGCACTGATCACAATTATGACTACATTATTAGAGGATCTGTTAAGTACACGCATCAAGAGCAACTAGTACATTGATCAACTAGTACACAATTATGATGTCACTTGCAGATCATGACAAATAATGATCAGTCACTCAATTGATGTGCTCATTCTCCTGGCCAAAGCTCCCTTGATTCTGAGCGCTCATTCTTTCCCTCCTTCAATATTCTGGAACTTATAATCCGTGCCTCTTTCACTGATTAATCCCCAGAATATTCAGACACAAGTTAAACACAGTTAACATTTATATTGATACCTTTACCCGTACTTCAACATAGATCAAGCCTATACTTATTGTTCTTAAGCTACAGTAAACAACTCTACTTATCCACAGTATTCATAGCCTTGCTGAATATTCCCATCAACAATACCTATTAATCTTCAACTAATTTTGTTAAAGCTTAATAAGTATTGTTAGCCCATTCCCTTTGGGGAATAACCTTTAATCCCAGGTGAGTCTTAGTACCCTGGATGCCTATTAATACTATGTATTGATTTGGATGCGCTGTTGATAGCAAGCCTCTCAGTAAAGACCATGCTGATTGAGTGAAATCTCCTCCTTACAGGATTGATCTTACCTAAACCCACTAACACTCACCACGATAAAAACTTCATTCAACTCCTAGTAACAACCATTCTTATTAAAACACTCAGGTTAGTTACCCAGAGGCTGAAACACATGGTGTAAGATGGGTGGTCATTGGTCACAGTGGTAACTGGTAATGTTAATTCATCTTTCTTCCGCATACATTGAACACTCCCTTTGATATTTGAGAGTTGTTTTAAATGAAAAAAGAAAATCATTCAAGAAATGATACTAGTAAGTTGTGTTCAGTTTTTTGTTGTGCTCAGAAATTGTGACCATGACTATGAGCCCTTTGCAAAGGTTTTTTGTTTTTTTCTTTTTTTACTAAACAATGACATGTTCTCCCATATTTTTCTACAGCATTAATATGCTGTATATTTCTTCACCACTGGCTCATTTTTTGTATCTGTAAATGGAGTAATAGTCAGAACATCATTTCCTATTGATGAATCTACAAATTTTGAAGCTCCAATATAAAATTGTACATCCCTATGAATGAACCTGAGATGATGAAATCAAACTTTAACAAAATCATTCCAAGAAATATATGGCATTTTATCCAACCTACAAACAATGGTGGGCCGCTACACTAACCGTAGCGGTTAGTGTAGCGTAATGCAGCAGAATCGCTGTTAGCGATTAGCGCAGCGTAGCGGAATTCCGCCACGACACCGCTAACGCTACGCGTGTGAGCCGCAAAAAAGGGCCCACTACGCTGCGCTACAGTGGTTTTTAGCGGTTTTTGGCCGCTTTTTCCGCTAAAAGCGCTGTAGCGCAGCGTAGCGTAGCAAAAAACCGCTAAAAAACCACTAACACTACGGTTTTTGGATGAAAAAAAAGCGCCGCTATGCTACGCTTTTTGGGCCAAAAGTGTAGCGTAGCGTAGCGTCCCACCGCTGCTACAAACCAAATGAAGCTAATGCAAAGACATTCATCTCACCAAAAAGCCTGCAACAGGTGGTACAAGCCAGGAAAGTAGAATTGAATTGGGCTAAGCAGTTTCCCTTTGAATCATATAGAATGGACATTGAAATTTGTTGTCCATGGCTATTCAACTATTTGAGCAAGCTGTGGGGTATACAACAAGAAGAACTGATATGAGATTTTTGAAATCTATTCTTGGAAAGATGGAACCCATGGCAGTTAAAGAAGGAATATCAACTGACCTGGTCCAAATCTTGAAGAAACTCCCCAATAACCTTAACAACTTGTTTGACTTCATTGGGTCCAATTGTCAAAGGGGGAGTCAACCGTATGATATTTGAATTGGTCGACTTGGCCAGAACACCTCGTGATTTCATCAACAGACAAAGCTCCCAAGCCCCCCTTTTCTTAGGAGATAGGTTTGGGTCAATCACAAGTGCATTCAATAAACCTTTACCTCTGGTAGTTTGTATGTATATATCCTGTTGGGCTGTCTGCTGATGGTTGGATGGATTTCAATTCCTGCATTGCCAATGTGAGCAGAAAAGTTTCTTTTTTCAGCCAAAGAGAAATTCAACAGATTGAAATAAAACTGAAGATAACTGACTAATAAACCACTTCTCATCAGTTTCCCCATTTCCTTGGCCCTCTCGCACAAGTTTTCTTCAATCAATACATCCAACGCAGTGATTGCCACAGCACAACCTAACAGGTTCCCGCCAAATGTAGAGCCATGTTCTCCAGGTTTGATGACTCCCATAATGTGATCATCTGCCAAAACCGCAGAGACTGGATAAAACCCACTGGACAAAGATTTACCTAAAGTGTCAGCTTGCTACTATAGCAGAGACAACCTGTCATAGTACACAAACATAATATAAAATACAAAAAAGACAGTATTACTCACCAGAGATGTTTTGAGATGAATAGTACTGAAAATAAATGAGAAGATCAAATAATAAGGGCATTATTTCTCAATATTCTTAATCTATATGAAGAATAACCTAGGGTACCTCACTCAAAGGTACCCTTTATTTCAACTACTTCATGCGGCAAATCTACATTAAAGATATAGGGTGTACCTCCAAGCAGGAAATGAAATATGCTTATGTTTATAATTAAATATGCTAATAAACAGGTTTAAGACTTGAAACTGATTTGCTGTTTCAAACATACACTTGTATATTGATAACACGTATGTGGCACATTTCCAAGGAAATAGCCACATGTTTCAGCTTTCATCTTCCACAGAACACCTGTGGCACATTTCCAAGGATATGGTCACATGTTTCAGCCTACATGCATGAAGCACCCACAAGTTGACCCTGATCTCCCAGATGCCTCCACGGGTATATAAAGAGCCCTCTTTCCCCCCAAAATCAGATTCCTCAGATTATTACAACCCACTTTAGATTACCCACCGTCCCAAATGCTTAACATTTGTATCTGTCTGGTAATGTATTGTCTCTTGCTTTAATTCTCTGTCTATCAGAACCTCAAGACTTAAGGGGCTTTATTAGTACATAATGCCCCCTTCTTTCTTGAGATTCTTACTACTTTCTTCTGGGATTTAAACCACCCCTGTTAAACAGGCCCCAGTGTTAACAGGTACCTAAATCCTCTGCTTTTGCACGATACCTTAGAGGGAACTAAACCACCCCTGATTTATCAGGCCCCTCTGTTTAAATTATATCAATATTTATTGATATAATTATTCATTTCTACTATCTCATAACTTTGTAATTACCACTCATTGTTGGAATTACACACCGGACTCTTTAGTCCCAGAGTTCAAACTCTAACATCTTAAGTTTTGCACCACGTGTAGCTAGAAGATTTACCATCTTGGCATCACGGTGGCTGACAATTGGGGGTCTGGCCGGGAAACTTTCCTTCAAACCCATTTGAAAGGAAAAGACCCAATAACTGTTTACCAGTGATATAAAACATTAAGAATATCAAACACCCTCTTGTGCGCGATAAACATGAAGAGATCAAACCTCAAGACTTGTCATTTGTTGCTTGTATCACACCTTTCGGGCAGCATGACACAACCTTGTCAATAGCTTTTATCAGACTACTCAAGCTCAACAGTCCATCTTCCGTACAAAAATAGCACAGACTATTGGTAAAACCTCATCAGAGTGACCGAGGTGACTCAATCAACAACTTCTCAAAGAAAACTGAACAGAGAAATATACTTCTTTCTTTATTCTTGTCGGTACAGTTAACCAAAATCTAAGGGAAGAAATGAAACTACCTCCGTTGTTGTTTACCAAAAACTGCTGAGTGTTGTGTGTACTCAGGATTCTTTTAAAGAAGATTGCTCGTTCCCGATTACACATAGAGAGAACAGTCAGACATCACAGTCAAAGAATAAACCAGTTCTCCAATTGTAGTTTCAGTAATATAAGCTGTCTTCAACATCCATTTGGGAAGAAAAACTGCATCTCAGACTTCAGTTGAAGGATGTGTGAATGTCAAAGATCAACCAAATTGCTTGAGATTCTCTAATCTGATTATTTCTCTGTTTCTCGCTGGATGCTAGTCAATACATTTGAAGGGCAGCATCAAGCTTCAAACATTCAGCCAAACCAATAACGGCGGTCAAAGTATTTGTGTAACTGACTCTGAGTCATACTACCACCACCATGGTTACCATCAACTCTCTGGAAGTCGAGCTCTTGATGGTTAACCCCAGCTATCATCCTCTTTTCACCAACCAGAGAGCTTTCATGATGACCACCAATGGAACAATCAACGTCAAACTACTTGGCACAAGCTCTTCCCAAGATCGATCAAGAACCGGTTCATCGCCATTTAAGCCATCTCCCGAAAAACACAAACATGACCTTCAGCCTGATCTTCTCCTGATCAATCTCAGAAGATCACTAGTTTAGAACTAAATACTAGATCTGGTCAAAACTTCGAACTTCATTTGAAAAACCAGATGCAGATTGGGAACAGATTTCTTCAATGGATACTGACAGCATCATGTCTGGTTCTACTAGCTCCAATGGATTAGCCAATTGATCGAGAAAGCAACATCCGACTAAGAATTCTGACAAAGTCTCGTTCCAGACCGAACATTCATCCTCGATCTCTATGAATCTGAGGAGAGAACAACTTGATGACTTCTATGCTGGGGCTTATCCCAGCTCAGCATTACAAACATTCCATCCAGAGAAGTTTCAAAGGAGGAAATTGATAGCCTTGGATCCAAGTATGCTACTCGGCTTCCTAGTGAAAGATGAAGCTGACTGGGAAGATCTGACTGCTTGGATACAACCGTTTAAGCCGCCTCTCTTCCACATTGCAGAAGCGATGCCATGGATGTGTACCAATATTGATTCTACCACCTCACAAACCAGTGCCAATTTCAGACCATCGGACGATAGTGATCTAGGAATTGATAGTTGATCTGAGCCCGAGGGCAAAGACTGGGGAGCTAACAGTTGGGTGACAACTACCTGTCATCCGGCCCCAACTCAAAATCAACCGGCACTGCTCTCAATCCTCCAGCATCATCATCTAATCCATTTACCTCTCATCAAACTTGAACCTTTGCAGTTGTTGTTGCTAGTGCCTTCGCTTCCTGGTAATTAAAACGCGAACAAAACCTCTTTCCAGAGACGTGGATATAGCTGAAATTGTGACATGCGCAAAGAACTTTCTGGATTGAGAAGTTAGCGGAAAACTCTTGAAGTAAGACTGACAACGACGTCTTTGGATCATTCTCAAATATCAAGTCATATACTAGAAACAAACTCACATGTGGTGCTCTTTCTTCAATCTTCAACCAATAACAGATCATCAGTCTATCCTCAATCCTATCACCACATCTTATCAATCAGCATCAACCGGAAGCTCATCGATTGAATTCTATATATGAGCCATCCAAGTTCAGCACAACCGCTTGATTGCTAAAGGCAACTTGGAGGTGATAGGAAAGGAAAGACTAGACTAGATCACATCGTCAATAAAAGTGAAGTGTCATTGTCAAATCATACTGGAATAGAGGATGTCGTATCAAAAAGCGGATGCTATCGTTTTACTGTTCTTTACGTTGGAACAATTAACTAGAAGACATTGTTGTTGCTTTTGATCTCTTCTTCTCATTGGATAACTAGCCTTCAACCGACCTCGCATCCCAACTAACGGAAGATTTATTGTGTTTTCAATACCAAAGGAGTGAACTGCTCAGCTCAAGTTAGTGAGGTTGATAAACACAAAAGTATCCAAAAGATAACCGACTCGGCGTGGCCTCCAGCACCTCCACGTTCGATCCTCGATCTCAACGGCTGCCTTTTACTTTAATAAAGTCTGTGGTTAGTCCAGAGGAGTAACCAAAGAAGAAGCCATTGGTTGTTGCCGTTTTTTGGACATCAAACTCTGTCTCAACATTTTAGTATTTGGTTAGCTAGAAAAACATCCCATTGTTTTTGACTTCATCTTTCCTTGTTTTCTGTCTTGGAAGCGTCCATCTACTTGTAAAAGCATGAACTAAAAAAAGGCAATCTTGTAAAATAAAGCCTAAGAAAATGAATTAGACTGGTTGTTTGTCTAAACAACTACTTGCTGAATTGAGATGAACCTTCAAAATATTTGATAACATTGTTCAAATACCAGCGAGCTGATCACTTCTTTTCTACAGGTCTTAATTTGCCACAGACTTGACTCATACATTGCTTGTTTCAAATAACTATGAGCACAATTACTGGTCATTGCATTATTATCAACTCTGTTCAGAGAAAGACATGTTTTAGACGACAGTGTGTATTCACCAATTTCTGGTATTCAATTTGTCAAACAGACCTTGTTGAGCTTTTGATTCTGTCACTCGACTTGCTGAAAGCTCTTCCTTCTCATCAAGCAAAACCTCTTGCACAGTTATGTCTGTTAAAAATCTAGCATTATAGAATCACTTTGACTAGGGCTTAAAACTAAAAGAAATCGGAATCAAAACACATTGCTGCTCTTGTTCTATCAATAAGTCAGAAACAACAACATTCAGCCCACAGTTGTGATTTTAACACGCTTTGGAGTCAATTGTTTAAAGTGATGCAACAGCTCAAAAACGTTGTGAATAACTCACACAAATAGATGTGGATCAATTGAGTTGAACCTCCAGTTCTATAGCTCAATATTTTTAACTAAAAACTTGTTTTTCTCATCAAATAAGCTCTTGAAAACCTTGAAAGAATAATCCAAGATATGCAATCAAGAATGAATCTTCATGTTATATTTTAAGAATCCCTGAACCAGGCAATCCAGTTATATCCAATGATCCCTAAACTGGAAAGTCAGTTATATTCAACAAAATCCCTGAACCTGAGGAAAAACTTGAGATGGTAAATCTAAAATCAATCAAGATAGGTACCAAGTAAGAGTGATGATTCTTTCAGATTGACTACAAATACTTAGCATCCTAGATTAGAAACTAATAAACACTATGATTGATAATGTGAAAAAATTAATGATAAATGATCAACCTGGAGCAGAAATTTATGGTAGATCTTCAATACTTTATCCCATTCTGCTTATCTAGGAAAATGATTCTCTGTGAGTCAGAGACTCATCTTAGGGGTAGGGAATGTCAGCTTGCTACTATAGCAGAGACAACCTGTCATAGTACACAAACATAATATAAAATACAAAAAAGACAGTATTACTCACCAGAGATGTTTTGAGATGAATAGTACTGAAAATAAATGAGAAGATCAAATAATAAGGGCATTATTTCTCAATATTCTTAATCTATATGAAGAATAACCTAGGGTACCTCACTCAAAGGTACCCTTTATTTCAACTACTTCATGCGGCAAATCTACATTAAAGATATAGGGTGTACCTCCAAGCAGGAAATGAAATATGCTTATGTTTATAATTAAATATGCTAATAAACAGGTTTAAGACTTGAAACGGATTTGCTGTTTCAAACATACACTTGTATATTGATAACACGTGTGTGGCACATTTCCAAGGAAATAGCCGCATGTTTCAGATTTCATCTTCTACAGAACACCTGTGGCACATTTCCAAGGATATGGTCACATGTTTCAGCCTCCATGCATGAAGTGCCCACAAGTTGACCCTGATCTCCCAGATGCCTCTACGGGTATATAAAGAGCCCTCTGTCCACCCAAAACCAGATTCCTCAGATTATTACAACCCACTTTAGATTACCCACCGTCCCAAATGCTTAACATTTGTATCTGTCTGGTAATGTATTGTCTCTTGCTTTGATTCTCTGTCTATCAGAACCTCAAGACTTTAGGGGCTTTATTAGTACATAATGCCCCCTTCTTTCTTGAGATTCTTACTACTTTCTTCTGGGATTTAAACCACCCCTGTTAAACAGGCCCCAGTGTTAACAGGTACCTAAATCCTCTGCTTTTGCACGATACCTTAGAGGGAACTAAACCACCCCTGATTTATCAGGCCCCTCTGTTTAAATTATATCAATAATTATTAGTATAATTAATCACATCTACTATTTATAAACCTTGTAATTACCACTCATTGTTGGAATTACACACCGGACTCTTTAGTCCCAGAGTTCAAACTCTAACATCTTAAGTTTTGCACCACGTGTAGCTAGAAGATTTACCATCTTGGCATCACGGTGGCTGACATAAAGTCACAATGTCTGCTTGGAAATTTGAATGCTCTTGACAAAGACTGGAAGTGACCCCGTGTTTATTGGATTAGTTTCAATTGCCCCACATTATTTATGTGCTCGCTTCTTTCATCATTGGACGCTTATCAAAAGTCAAAAATAGGATGCTTACAGTTTACCTGTTTGACCAAGCCCAGTCTGCACCTCATCCATTATCAATAACACGTTCTTTGATTCACATAAGGCCTTTACTTTTGGAATGTAGTCGTTGTCCGGAACAATAATCCTAGTGTCAAAATGGGTAGAGTATCAATAAAGTACTTCTAATAGGATTTTTTGATTGTTGCCTTTGATCACTGCTTACCCAGCTTTGCCTTGAATAGGCTCGAGTAAAACTGTGGTTGTATTTTTTCTGTGGGCATTTAGTGCTTGCTTGATATTATGTAAGTCACTGTTCAATTGAATGCGCACAGATCAGCAATCAATCAAGATATCCTGGAGATGGCTATGGGAGTTCTCAGACTTTTATTTTAATGATCTTTGACCGGAGTTTGATGGCGCATTGATTGGACAACTCAAGCCAATGCTCTTCAGAAATGGCCCAAATGAATTTTGGTAATCCTGATCAGTACTATGTGGAACAGTCAAGGGTGGAGCAATTTTGCATAAGCTTTGGAAATCGCTTGTTCTTCTTTTTCTGAGTGAGTAGCAACCGGGGGTTGATAAGCGCAAGCCAACCCCCCTTGCGCACGCCAATCTGCTGCTAGTTTGATTGGCTTGCAGGTCCTAAACCCATATTAATATGGGTTTAGGACCAGGGCTATCCCATAGGACCCAGGCATGGGTCCTATGGGATAGCCTATGTAGTGTTTGAAAAAAAAAAACATGTCAATCCTTGTAGGACACCGGCCGGTGTCCTACAAGGTCGACAAGGCCCACCTTGCCGGCCAGGAGGGAATCCTCCTGGTCAAAGAGGTTGTACAGCCTCGCCGGCCAGGAACCTCGTCGACCAGGAGGGAATCCTGGCCGCCAAGACTGTACTACCTCGTCGACCAGGAGGGAATCCTCCTGGCCGGCAAGGTTGTACGGTTGTACAACCTTGTCGACCAGGAGGAGGATATCCTGGCCGGCAAGGCTGTACAACCTTGTTGACCAGGAGGGAATCCTCCTGGCCGGTGAGGTTGCGACCAGGAGGGAATCCTCCTGTCCGGCGAGGTTGTACAACCTCTTCAACCAAATCCTCCTGGCGGCAAGGTTGTACAACCTTGCCGGCCAGCATTCCCTCCTCCTGGTCGAAGAGGTTGTACAACCTCGCCGCCAGGAGGGAATAGTCTCGAGGCCGACGAGGCAAACCTCTTCGCCTTGAGACTGTACATGGCTCAAGGCTGAGAGGAATCCCTCTTGGCCTTGAGCCATGTACAGTCTCAAGGCCGGGAGGAACCCCTCCCAGCCGTGAGACTGGACAGCCTTTTGGCTTGGAGGGCTTCCTCCCAGCCCAAAAACTTTTTTTTGCCTTTTTTGCACTTTCTCCATGGGCTATCCCATAGGACCCATGCCTGGGTCCTATAGGATAGCCCCATTCCTAAACCCATATTTATATGGTTTAGGATCCTAGATTGGCGTGCACCATGGGGGTTGGCTTGTGTTTGTTCAACCCCCGTAGCAACCTTGAACCTCATGAACACTGTTCACCGTGTGTACATCATAACTGACCTCATACCCATGACACCCAAAGTTTGACCATGGAAATTTCCGCCAACACTTAAGATTATGGCTTTGCCGTCCGTGCATTTATAATTGCACTCCCCTCCCCTCCCCGCCCGCCTACGCCCCTCCAAAAGGGGCGTGTGATCGCACCCGCCCATCTCTGAGGGGCGGGTTTGATTGCACACCCCTTGGAATTCTGATTTCCCAAGGAAACAGACTTCTGAGGGGCGGGCAAGAGAACCCGCCCCTCCAGGAGGGGTGGATGGACTTGCCCGCCAATCAAAGACTGGCGGTATCAGCTCGTCGGAAGGTAATCCTTCCGACGAGCTGGTTTGAAAACCAGCAACCCCTCCCAACAAGCTGGTATGCACACCAGCTCGTCGGGAGGGGTTCCTCCCAGCGAGCTGGTATGTACACCAGCTTGTTGGGTTCTTTTTTATTACCAAGTTGAATTGGTGTATCATAGCCATGTTTTTTTCCACCTTGTTGTTCTGCCATTAAATTTTCAAACAAAAAAGCCAGTGATTCCTGCCAAAAATGGTAAATAAGCACAGTAACTTTGAATGAAGAATCAGGAAAACCTACCTTAAATATTTCCCAAGGAAAAGATTCTATCAATGATTCAAGAAATCTGATAGCCTTTTCATGATTATCCAGTCTGTATGAAGCATATGATCTCCACATCAACCCTGATTTGAAGTAAAATTCCTCAGGATATTGAAAATATTTAGCAAATTTCCAGAATATTGATTCTTCTTTTTTCACAATAATAGCATGGTGACCAGCTATTCTAAGTACCTTGTGCATCTTCCCTTCCATATCCATCTCACCCACAGAAAATGCAAAATTGTGCACTCCTTTTTTGAGAACCATTGCAGGTATCAATTCCATGTTAATGAAAACTTTGTGTTGCAAGGACAATTCAAACTTTTCTCCATGATCTATAAATTCTACTTCAAAATCTTCAAATATTTTATTTTTTTGATAGCCTCTTGCAGTGCTTCTCTCATCTCTTTGAATGTTCCAAAACAATCAGTTCCTATTTCAACACATTCCTAAATATTTTCTGGAAGACCTACTGTTGATCATTTCCATATTTATTTGATCCTTATTATCATCTTCATAATCATGTATGTAAGTGAGCCTATAAGGCTCTTTATCATGTATTCTCCCAGCTAGGTTAAGAGAAATAAAAAAATCCTCAATATTACACTTTATATGTTTGATTGATTTGGTGGCTTACTGGAACTAATTTCCACTGCTTGAGCCTTCAGCAGCTGATTGTAGTGCTTAGAGCTGGAAGTTCTTAATACCAAATTGTTGTTTGTGCTCAACTCTGCTCCTTTTTACCAGCTAGATTTATCCCAGGAATTTTACCCTAGGTAGTTTCAAGTTCTGATACTTCCTTTGAGGTTACTAGCCAAACTTGATTATTGAGATTAGCAGCAAGATCTTTCAAAACTCTCATGACCCTCTGCTTGTGTTTAACACTATTATCCCCATAATGTGGCTCAATTGTCCCCTACAATATTATCCAATTCAATCAGTGAACAGAATTCCTCAAGAATTTTCCAAACAAGAACTTACTCACATCAGCACCAATAAATAAAAAAGATTTTTCTGCTTGGGTATAATCCTGGAAAATTCCTTCTGCTTCTTTCTTCCCCAGCTTGGGAACCTTGCTGATTGATTTTGGCTTGATACTGAACAGCCCTACTTGATATCCAAGGGACTTGGTTGAGTCACCTGTGTGAACATGGTCTGGCATGGGTTTAGGAATAAAACAGTGATTCCAATAATTGTATAGAACATTCTTTCTTTAGGATGGTGATGTGTATGTTGATGGGAAACAGAAGAAAATCCAGAGTGATACCTGAGTTGTTATTTATCTTGTTCCAAGGCTTGATGTTTTGAAGCAGGAACGTTTTTACCAGTGAGAAGATTTCACATGTGTTGACAAGTTGCTACTTTGACTACATTGCTTCAATGACTCCCTAGGTATCTGTAAGATACCAAACAAGTACAAGAATACACAAGCGGCGCCTGTATCTAGGCGCCGAGAAGATAATTCTGTGCAGTACCGCTCGGCCCCCCTTATACTCCCTTAATCATAAGAGGTGTGCGGCAGGGCACAGCCCCGAGTTCACCGGCGTCCATGGAGCTGTAGTGAGCTACTACAGCGACGACCAGGACCCGTTGGCCGAGCCGGACGGGATGAAGTAGGGCCGTTGCCAAATGCTGCTTCGGAATCCCGCAGTCTCACTCTCTGCTCTGGTTCGGAGCTGTGGGATATCTGCTAGGTAGAACTCCGTGTTTGGTCAGGTTCACCATAGCAGTTTTCCTTCTTTATCTCACTAATGC